ACTGTGATGTGTTTGTGTGGATGTGGTTTTTGGGGTGGGGGGGGGGGGGGGGGGGGGGGGGGGGGGGGATGGCCACCCCAGGCCATGGCTAAGCTTCGTCCCTGTTTGTGTGGTAGTTACTCAGATAGTACATATACTGGCATACGGCAATTCACAGTCGTGTTGGGCATAATCCAAAATAAATATTCTAAAATAAAAACAGTTAGTCTTGGGATTTGCACTTGATATCAGAGATATTGACCCTCATGTGTGGAGCTTATCTAGTGGCTTGAGATGATGGTAGATAGCGTAGTAGGAGTCATCAAGTGGAAACCAACAAGACTTGGGTCGAGGCGGGTCCAAAGTGAGAACATTTGAGTTTAGGGGCTGGATTGTGATGATTCAATACCTCATCTTGCTTTGTATAGTTGGTGTAGAATAGGATCATGCGGACCTAACAAAAAGCACACAATACTATATATATTATGAGGTCCGGACCCTTACAATATATATGGTTATGGTTGATCAGGATCATATTGGCTGTTGGATTATCCATGCTGGTAATTGGGACCATAGCTAACAACAAGTCAAGAGCATCTTGCGGGTTCACCCATCATCACTTTCTGTCCATTGGAGGAGTTTTGTGCATGGTTCATGGACTATTTTGTGTCGCTTATTATGTTACTTCCACTGCTGCATTCAGTGAATAAGCAAAAGCATGGAGGTAGTTTTTCCTGCTTCTTTCTTTATTCAACTTAGTGACTCACTCATCCCTTTCAAGCTAGATGACTTTCCACTTTCTTCGTTTTTTCTCTGTTTGTTTTACTTGTGAATTGTAACTTTAGGTTCAACTGTAGTTGAAAAGACCAAGTACACCTCTATAATTGTTTTGTAGAAGTAAGTGACATCTGCATGTTTTACTCTCTTTGAGTTAGCAATCCTATTAGTATACTCAATCCCGAAGTACTAGCTTGAATCTAATTTCATGAGGTAATTCATTGTTGTCGTTGATTTGACAATGTATCACAATTATTATATTTCTACTAGTAAATGGTGGGTCTTTTTTGGTACCCACTTCATTTATTTTTTGAGGAAAATAGAAAAATTCCTGTAATAAAAGTATAGTTAAATTTTATAAGGAACGCATCAAGAAAACAACTTGCCAAAAGATTCAGCAGCCCTAAAAATCGGCACACGAGAGTTATTATGTGCATACCAACACTGTCAGTATAAGTAATATCTAGTAAACAAGACATTTGTATTGTACATAGAGAAACACAAAAAAAAAAAAAAAATGGTAGTCAACTTTACATCGTTTTGAAGATGCCTTACTAAAAGTCAAACTAGCAAGCAAGTACCGTAAAAAACTTAACCTGAGTAAACCCAAGGATGAGCAGAGTCAATCATGCAAGGTAGAGTTTCTCAATGGGAATGGGCTTGACAATTAGTGAGGTTAAGATATCTTTTGTCTCTCCAGTTGATGTCCCAATCCCATCCCCATGTTGGAAGATACACTGAGCAGTCCATGCCATGTTTAGTGCTATCCTTACTATGGATTGAGGTTGTGCTTTCCTTGAGATTGTCTCATTAAGATTTTTCCAAGAGGAGCTTATTAGGCACTTCATGTGACTGCGTGCTTGTTCTTCTGATACTTGTTCTCCAATCATGGTAAAACTGAATCGATTTTGATACATCCCCTCTCGCAATCTCATCCTTGAATATGCATGAAAAAATAGTAAAGTTCCAAATTATAGATATATGCATTGATGGTGTATTTTAACGTGATGAGAATTTGTGATGACGAGTAAATGAAAGAAAACAATATTAAAATTGTTGGAATCTGAACTATTAAACTCGAGTGAATGATACTGAAAATTGTCGGGGAATTGGGGAATTAACACAGTAGGAATATAGTGGTTCACCAGCTCGGAAGCTCGGTTAATCTACTTTTTAATGGAGACTCTTGCTCCTTGTCTCTTTATAATGATGATTGCAAGAGTACAATGACTAGTTTTTGCCTCTAGGGTTCCTCCCGTTCCTTGGGGGCGTTACATAGTGATTTATAGGGTTGTTCCCTATTCAGTGGGATTTTAGCCGAGATTCTTGCCCTTATTTCGTGGGGTTCTTCTTGATTATAGGAGAAGATCTTGGTTGGTTGCAATTAGGTGCCTCGATTATTGCTTCCTAACGCTTTTAGGAACCTCTCGTGATCTTCTAGTTGTTGCCTTAGTTGTTATTGCCCTTGCTTATCTTGAAGGGACCTCCAGCTTTACTCTTCCGAGTTCTGTTCGTCTAGTCTGACCTCCTGGGCTGAGTTGACCTTCTGAGCTGGCTTTTGAGATTTATTTTGAGGTATCATCAGTTGTCCCCCCAGCCCTTGGCCCAAGCGAGCTTGGGCATAGACTGAGCTACTTTTACCTTGGACCAGACTTGCACCTAGCTGACCTTAGCCTACATGTGAGATGCACGTGGAAGGGGCTTTTTGACGGTATAAGCAATCATGGCTCCCTTGGTTCCCGCACATGCCTCACCCCACGTCTTTCAAGTCTTAAATGCTCAAAACGGCTGAAAGAAAAAGTACTAAACCACCGTTCATCTTCTACGCTGTTCACCTTCGTCTCCGACTCTTTCTCTTTGTGATTTCTAGGCTTTCCTCCACGCGATTCCCTTATTCTCTGCTCTAGACTGTGCTTTCTGGGTTCGACTTGAAGTCTTGCTTTGTTCCTCTCCTCTAATTTTGTTCTTTGACTGCTGTTTGTTGCTCTTCTCCCCTACTTAGGTACGCTTCTTTATGCCCCTTTCTCTTTCTGTTGTCTTTCCTCACTCTGGATCCCTCGATTTTGAGGTGACCATTATTTTTCTGGGTTTTTTGGTTCTTTTTCTTTTGGAATCACGATCGTTGCCTATCTCCTCTTCCCCGTTTTATGGATTGGAACTCCACTGTGCAAATTCTTACTGTCGAGAGGAACAATGCTGACCCTAGGATTATCAAGGAGTGTTTAGTTAGTATCCCTCTTTTTTATAATTCTTTCAATTTGCCTTTCTCTTTGCCAATCATGTCTGCCTCCTCTGGAGCAACTCCCTCCTCTGTTTCCCTCCTAGGCCACAGGTCCGCCGAGAGAGATTCTGATTTAGGGAATGTAGGTGATGAAATTGACAACTTCCCCGGTGTTGAGGCTGTCGATACCGAGGTGGACTCCAAGGAACTCCCTTCATCTTCCTCTCATGTACCTCCTAGTGTTGACAAGGGTAAGGACAAGGTGAGTGAGGTCAAAATTCCTGACAGTACAACGGGTATGGGGGCTGCTTTTAGGCATGCTGAGCTCGTAGGTCCCAGTGGGGTGGATCTTATTCTCATGGAAGCTCTTAGTGCTCATTTTAGTTTTCCCCCTGGTGTTCAGCCCTGGTGCCCGGATAAATTCATCGCATACGTTGCCCAAGTGCACAAAAGAGTTTGTTTCTTTGTGGCCGTTTTCGAGAATGACCTTCGTTTTTCTATGCACCCCTTCATCAAAAATGTTCGGTAGCACCTCAATGTCTGCCCTACTCAGCTTTCTCCTAACTTATGGGGTGTTTTAGTGGATCTTTTAGTTTTCTTTAAGAAGCATAGGCTTGGGACTCCCACCATTTCTCTGCTTATGGACCTTTTCAATGTCAAGCTTATCTCAACTGAGGGCTTTCTATATATTTCTAGGCTGATCTCGCCTAGGCAGATCGTCACACACCTCCCGAGCTCTTATAAAGGCTGGAAAAAGAATTTCTTTTTTGTTGGGGGTGTCAACTGGGAATACAACCCTGCTGATAAAACAGACACTCTTGGGATTCCCAAAGCTTGGTCAGTCCCAAATAACTTAGGTGAGTTCTTGTCTGACTGAATTGCGGTTTGAAGATTTATAAGTTGTTTTCCTGACCTCTGCACTTTTGGTGTTCCTCCTTTCTTATGCATTCAACCTGAACTCAGCGCTGAGGACAAACGGGTGAAACTGAAGTTGGCTAAGTGTAATCCAGAGAGGTGCTCTGAGCTCCTCAAGCCCTGAGAATTAGAAAGGCAGGGATTCGGCCCTCCTCTAATCCTATTTTCCTTTATCCGACCTGAGGGCGTAGAAGGTAATGTTCTTTCCCTTATTTGATTTCATTGTTTTCCTCCTTTTTTTTTTCCTTTTGACTAACCAGCTTAAGTTAAATCTCTCAGGGTCTTCTATGATAAAGCCTACCCCTGAGATGCTCCAAGCTAAGGTAGAGCTATTGAAGAAGAAAAGCAAAGGTGGTACCAAGCGCAAGGCTAAGAGCAGTTTTGGTGGAAGCCCAGTTACTCAAGCTAAGGTTCAGAAAATGGGTACTTCCTCTGCCTTTGTCCAGAAAGCTCCACCATCCCCCCTACATGTTTCACCAGCCTCAGGACCTCCTTTCCCCCAAGGGACCCTATCTGCCACTGAAGATGCTCCTGGGCGAGACCAGTCCTCCCCTTCTGCATCTGAAGTTGAGAGGGCCTTGAAGACTGTTCGCACTTTCCCTGGTTGTGCTATCTCTGCGTCGACCAAAGAGGCCTCCCAATCTCTTTCCACATAATTCATGGTAGGCAAAGGGGTCCTGCCGAAGTCTGAGAATTCCCTCATTACTGACGTGAAGCGTGCTACAGAGGCCATTGCCTCAATTATCCCGGAGTCTGACATTGACGCAGCCACTTCTGTACCCCTGGGAACCTGTGTTTCCACTGCGCTGTATGGTTGTACCTCGGTGAGATCCTAATTTATCAATTTCTTTCTTTTTCCTTTGGTTGTCCTGCGCTCTTCCCTTTACACTAATTTTTCATGCTTGTCTTTAGACCGCCATTTAAATAAGCAGCTTGTTAAAGCGAATCCAAGCCCTAGAGGGGTCAGTCAATGCTTCCAAAGCCTTTGAAATGAAATGTACCGATCTGGCCTTTGAGAATAATGACCTTAAGATCCAAGTAAAGGAGTTACAAGAGCAAGTGGAGCAACAGTCTTCCTTTGCCAAGTCCAGACAAGAGGAGCTCAGCAAGACTAATGAAGACCTGCGGTCAAAAACCGATGACTGGATAAAGGAGAGCCAGAAGTCCCTTGATGCTCTAGCTTCCTTTAGGAACATGAAGAGGGAGTACGAGGTGCTAGCAGAGGCCAATGATGCTGTCAGGGAGGAGTTAGGGGCTGCCATGGAGGCACTGGAGGTGCGAAACATTGTCATCTAGAGAAAGGATGAGCTGATTGCCCAACTAGAGGATGACGTTCTCACCAGGTGGGCAAAATGGTGGATTGCTTTCCAGGTTATAGTTAAAAGGACTTACCTTGAACTGAACTTTGACTTTTCAATTCCCCTTGAGGAAGAGGCCGATGGGTCTGATGAAGAAGATGATGATGCTCCTGCTCCTCTTGTTTCTGAAGACGTGCCCATAGACTCTGGAGGGCTCAGTCCTCTAGTTGGGACTTCAGCTCAAGATGCTTTTGCCTCCTCAGGCATCTCTACTCCCTTGGTTGCTGAGTCTGCTTCTTCCCTCCCTGCTGAGCTGGCCACAAGAGCCTTGTTTGAATCTGAGGTCCCTACCTCTTTGTTTGCTCTTGGCCCTCATGAAACTTCAATTGTTACTGTGCCAGATAGGTTGTCTGCTGAGCTGGAGAGCCCTTCTTCCATTCCTTGTGCTGAGACATCAGTTATTGCACTACAAGGCCCTTCATCTACGCTCCCTTAAAAA